CAGAGGCAAGCCAGATCGTCGGACTCGCATGGCCTACCGACGCGAAACCACCCACAGGTGTCCTCCGCTCGTGAACCTGCACCCAGAGCTGCTGCACCTGATGACAATTAATGCAGTTTCCTTGCAAATGTCACGCTGCTGTCTTCGCCCGCCGACAATATTTTGCGACAAAAAGTGCACGCTAGGGCCTTCTGACGCAAGCACGACTTTATTTGTTGGTCTTTTTGAAGTGTTTTCATTAGCATTGTGCTGACCCTTGTGATGATTGCTGTGTCGGTTTTCTTACAAAGGTTCGGGCCTCGGCTTGTAAACCTTCTGTCGTTGAGACAACTTGTACCGTATGCCCAGCGTTTGATCCATCAATCAGCAAGTGTTGGCGATGAACCCCCATCCTTCGATGGCTTCTCAGTGGACCCATTCATGGCCGGTGGCATCGGCAACCCCTTCCTCGCAACCGATGTCCTCGCATCTTCCATCATGGTCAGTGCCGCGGTCTCAGGCAGCAGCCTACTCGAGCTCAAATCGGATGGAATCCATGCAGTACCAACCTCGGGAGGAAGCAGTACCCCGAGTCCATCCTCCTCGGCCTCCACATATGACCCACCAGTTCCCCCCTCAGCCTCCGGGTCAGTTTTACAACCATCATGGCAATGGCACAACTCATATGCAGACAGATCCTCGGCCTCCACCACCGGCACCACCAGTTCAACTTCAGGCCCGTGCACCTCTAGGCCAAGGCGATGCAACGCAGTACACTCAGCCACGATATGCGCAGCTCCTCCCAGGTACCTTTCAATCTGATGACATCTTCCTCGACAAAACGGAGGTCCGCGGCCTGCAACTATACCGTCACGTTCAACCTACTCAGTGGTCCCGAAGGGTCGGACTCGCGGGAACAGCAATTCTAGACCTTCCGCTGACACGTCTTCTTCGGGGAGGAGCAGAAGATCACGCACTTCGAGTGCTATCGAACGGGAGATACAGTACACCGGTAATGGCTCAGACAATAGCCGAGGCGGTGTTATTGACATCAATCCTCAAAGCCTTGCGGGGCAGGGAGGTCGACATCGACCGGACAGCCCGCTCCCTTCACGCGGACAACGCGCCGGATAAGCGCAACGAAGCCATGCAGTTCATGGAGCCGCTCGCACTCAAAATTGTGGATCTCATAAAGTCGCTGCAACCCGCCAAGCAGGAGAACCTCACCCGCCACAAAATTGCCGAATTGGAACAACAGCTCGAGCGCTACAGGAGCAAAGGCATCACCCTCACACCGGACAAGAAGCAGCCATCTTCGTCTCCTTCCAATACCGCATCCTGGACTCCCACACCTGGCCGCTCTGATCAATCCCTATATATCAGCAAGGCGGTGTCGGATGCTCAAAGACCTCCTCTACCAGTTCCATCTCCAGATGCAGATCCAGCTCCCAAACGACGACCGGCAAAGCGCAAGACTCCGGAGGCCGCTCCGGACATCACATTAGATTCAGAGCTGTTGCGTCAGGGCAATCCTAAAGGCCAGCAGGTTCCACTCCCCGCCAGCCTCACGGACAAAGTCTTCAAACCGTGGATGCACGAGCGAACGATGTCCAACCAATCGACTTACCTCGACCTCGTCAAGCAGGAGCTAGCGTCGGACACGGTGGAGCAGCTGAAAACCATTGCAGTCAAGTGGGGCGCCACTACCTCGTTGGTGAACAAAGGATCGAAGCGAGCACTCCTCCAGCTCATTACGGTG